TAAGAGTCAGAATAGCATTGTTGATTGTGCTCATTACACTTGGCACCTTTCTGGTTGGATGGGGAGTACTATATCAAGTAAGACATGGATCCATTAGTCCACTCATAGAGAATGCCCACATCACTAACAAAACTCCAGCTGTGTTTCAGAGAGTTTCACTTATCCCCAGAGCCAAAAGATCAGCTGAGCAACAAGAGGAGGAGTTAGAAATACTCGGTCCCAAAGGTGAGGCGATTACAATCAAGATGATTCACCCCCCATATATGCAGTTCTTGTATCAAATGATGAGATGGGTTTAAGTGATTGGGATATGTAGGTGATGGGAATTTACAGATTAGGGGAATCTAAAAATACACTGGATCCATGTTTTAGTCTGTGCCAGAAACACCCCTGTTAAGTTTATGGACAACCGACCGGTGACCTGAGCACAATTATTGAAAATGATTACAGTAGAAACAGGCTACTAACCCACAAGTACAGCTTTGTACGTACAAACTCTATGAACAAAATTCCCCAGCAGATTGTGGCGACATTGCAGATATGTTCAGTCACAAAAGTTACTTATGTTCTAAATAACAGTGAGATTTAAAGTAATGGAGAAAATATGGGGACGTTCTTTTATAGTGCGTGAAATATGTGGTGCTTGAAACATGTAGGTATTTTTAATTTATAGAAGAAAATGGTTTCCTGAAAGAGTTATTTGGAGTAGCCATGTTACAGTGGGTGGAAACAATGTTTAGGGATATGGCACAACCATTAGTAGACATTAATTGGGTTTAGATGACATTTAACATCTAAGACAGATAGTAAGATTAGGAAAATAGAGTGGAAAGGATTGGATATATTTTACCTCAGTGTGTTAGAATTAGCTATAGGTAATGCGTCCCGAGATCTCTCTCTCTCTCTCTCTCTCTCTCTCTCTCTCTCTCTCTCTCTCTCTCTCTCTCTCTCTCTCTCTGCCTGTCAGACTGCTACGACCCCATCTTCAGACAAATGACCGCACCACAGGAGACTCCTCCTCTTCCATCGAACAGACGGGAGAACCCGAGCTGAACCAACAACGACCTGAGGCATCCAGAACCATCTCCACCTGAGGCATCCAGAACCAAACCAGCATGCTGACAAAGAGGCAAACTCTCATCGGTCCCTCAAACAGGACATGAAGTTCCAAACTGAGCCGCGAGATTTGGCACAAGAACAGAGTGTGGGACATGAGAGCAGAATACACCACTCCATGCAACAGCCAAGAGACTGAAAAGGAGGAGATGAAATGCAAAGCAGTTGGGCCACTGAAAAGAATTACAGCGGGAAGATCCAAGTGCGGATGGACTGAGGAGAAGACAGGACGGAGGAGGAGACAGAACCAGAGGAGTTGGCATGGGCCAGCAGAACGTGAGGGGGTCGTGGCTTGACGACCAGAGGGGGAGAGAAGGAACACAGGAGTGAGTGAGTTTACACATAAACACACTTATTAGAAAATAATCCTAAAAACACACTGAGGGTGGAACATATTATTCAATCTTTTCATAATATAAACAAATTATTCTTATAGAGATTCTTATTCATGTGAGAATTTGGGGAAGATTTAATTTGTTACAAAATAGATAGCAGGCAAATCTTTATTTGAATGGAAAATGTTAAAGGTAGAGCTGGGACCAAGCCAAAGAAAGTATTCCAATCTAGAGTATTGGTTTCACCTTTGTAGCATGGTTATTACTATAGGAGAACTGTTAAGGTGGAAATAACATTTGTTTGTCGTCCAAGATGTAGAGTTTTAAAAAGACACTAGGCAAAGAGCGATTGAAGATTTTAATTTTGAAAAAACTAGTATAATTGGGAGTAATACATGCGGGGCCTTGGATCACTCATTTTAATGGTGCATATTTTCGACAACAAATATCGTTCAGGGAGAAGGGGTTGCTCAACCCACCCTGCAGATGTTTTAAATCTTACTTACAGCTTCAGAGGGAGCGCACGGCACCAGAGTATGAGTTTTAAAAGACAAGTGCCACCACCTCCTAATGCTCATCCATTTAATCAGTGATGACCTGACATTTAGAGATGTTATTTAAAAGGAGAAACATATCTGCCATGAGTGAAAATTCCTGAATTGAACTACAAACCATTAATGAAATGACTTCTGTTTTTGAAGTCCTTGTTAGAGCACCCAAGGTTCCACACACTGTTAAAGGGGGTTAGCATAGTTATTTAAGTAGACCAGAAATGAAAATAAATTAGTATAATGAGTTATTGATATTCCACCGGTTTTCACACCATTTCAGGGACTTTATCACTGTATTAGAACAGACCACCCCAAAGCCAGTAGGGCTAAGAGACCAGTCCCAGGGGGAGTTTAGGCTCCAGGGTAAAAGGATAGCATAGGGGCGACCTGGGGAGGCCTAAATGTAGCACTCATTCCATGTCCTAAAATACAGATTGATCACGACGGCCTCTTCTAGAGAACATATTACTTTCATACCTTAAATGGTATGAAAGGAGGGAGGGTACATTTCTCATGAGGAGACAGTTACAAATGCTAGTAGAACAAGACGGCCCACCCCAATACAGATGTTGATGAAAATGATGAGTTAGTTTGAATGATGTTAAACGATATGGATGTTCAGAGATGAGGTTGTTCAATGAATGTCCAGCCGATGTGATTCTTTAAATGATGAAATTATGTGAAGAAGTGAGCAAAATAAAATGCTAAAATGGAGTGAATCCATTTCAATTTACTTATACTATTACAAGATAGTGTATTTTTATTTCAATTTACTCTATACTATTCCAAGATAGTTTATTTCATTTTTATTATTTTTCACTGTTCTATATGGTAGATTTCATGTATTTTCGAATCATTACTATTCTAAAATGGGTAGTTTATTTTCACTTTGTAAAAACAAGTGCCTTAACACTGAGCGTGGTATGAGAACGGTTTCTGTGAAAGGAGGGAGGAATAAATGTTCTGATACCAAGCCATTGCTGCTATTTTGAAGAACCATATTGAATGTTAACACTAGAAGTTATGCACAAGGGAAAACTTTTATGTTTGAACACAGTCAAAGTATTTTTGTATTTTTGTAAAATTGAGGATATTCGCACTATTCCATTTTGATTGTATGTTTTTGATATGAATTATGTACTATGCAGAGTTCAGATGAAGAACTCATTGATTTCAGTATTATACACACCTTTTAGGTGTGTAAGGAGGGACTGTTAGAAATTAAAATCAATGTTTTGATGGCATAATGTACCTTAAATGTACCTTCAGTTTAAATGCTGTTTTATACTGAAAAAACAGAAAATTATTGTGCACAACCAGTTAAGCTTTTATTCTGAAAATCCTTCATCTCCGGTTAGCATGTGGCTAGTTTACCATTTCTTATAGAGGTTAATTTAGTAGCGAAATGACATGGAGTGATGCACACCGAAACCTACTGATTTTAACACTGCAACTATAGACGTATTATTATTGCTGAATATTAAATGAAGGTATAGTTTATTTGAATAAAGTTATTGTTTACAGACGTGGATAAGATGTGACAACATCCGGAATGACCAGAAACCAAACCAGCCGTGAAGTATTTTCTGTATTTGTTAGAATATTAACTACAACGTTTAGAATGTGTTAAAGGAAAAGTGATGAAAGACAATATGAGGAGAAGAGGCGTGTTTAAGTATATATTGAATGTACAATGCCTGAATCCTCTGTTTAAACGTAACGACGGACATTAAGATGTGGAGGGCCGGCCCGCAGGGAGGAGCCTGCAGAAGCTATATAACAGCAGCACCTGAGCGGTTCGGCCTCTTTTCTCTGCTAGCGGGGAGCCAGAGGCAGCTGCTTTTCTGTCAGAAAATATCCTGTTTGTGACTTTACCGCGCCTTTTTTATTAATTAAAGTACCAATTTGAAAACATCTCAGAGACTCCATTTAGTCTCCTTTTTAAGCTTCTCTTTCCTGGACGCGAGAATAACCATCACAGTTAACACTCCCTATACTGGGGTTTACAGCGGGGGCGGGGAGTGTAGAACAGTGTTTCTTCCGCTGGGGATGGGCAAGAATCAGCCACGCTGTGATTACTCCTTATCCCGTAAGCAAGGAGATCGATCCAAAGAGCCCTTCCGTAAACACGGGGGCTCCCAGGAGATCAACACGATCCTCTTTGGAAAAAATGCCATGCGGCGTGATATCCCAGGGACATCACAAGGCCGGCAGCGGCGGCGGCCTGTGATAAAGTAGGGTCGACCCTATATCATGTGAAGCCACCGAGCACCGGTCCCCGGGGGAACCGGGCCTGGGGCCAGGCTTGTGGACCAAGCTACTTAATCAGCCTTGCGGCCCAATAATCGCTCTGACCTTGTGAGGCGGGGGCATCTCTAGCAATGAGCGAGTAACCCACACACCCGCCGCCATGATCATCACCCAGGGAGTGTACAGCCCTGGGCGGTGGACTTCCATGGACGCCGGACTCGGAAGGAATGGCGAACGTGAAATGACACCGCCTCGGCCATATCCTGGTCCCCCAAACACTCGAAGCAGAGGTGGTGGGGGTCGGCGCCCGCTATCTTTCGTTCTCTTTCTTCCTTTCTCTCAAAAAATACGTCTCGGACTCAGTGCTAGGCTATCACCCCGGGGCCGGCTACGTCCATAGAAATCTCAGTAGGTGAATGCTTGCATGATAAGGTAGTACCCATAGAGTCCAGTAGAGGGCGGAGCCTGTGAGAGATATAACCACAGAAACCCAAGCCAGTGCAGTTGAGCAAGAATCCAGTGGCAGCATGGCCAGAGAGACCCAGCGCAGTGCAGTTGATGACTATACCTACCTCTCGATCATGGGTTCCATCTCTGACCATTCATCTGATGATGAGGAGTTAAAACAAGCGATTATGGCCAGTCTTCAGAGTCATATGTAAGTGAGTGGGTGATAAAAATAGTGCAGTAATTAAAGATAAACAGGAACAGGGTGAGCATGAAGTGAATCTGATAGGACTTTTTACAATATTGACTTCATATAGGCACACCAGCCACTAGCCATTTTCCACTTGTAAAATCCTTTAGGTGTGCAATGGGGGTTTTGTTGTTGAAAAGTATGCTCTTATCCCTATCCTAAAACTTTTTTTTCTTTCTACAGGGAAATCGCAAACACCAAGTCTTCACAGGAAGTGTTCCTCGATCTTGCATCCAAAATTGAAAGAAACCAAAGATGCAAGTTTAACATAAATAGGTCGGCAGTTCTGGATGGTGACTTTCCTACAATCCTGCATCCCAGATGTTCGTCAAGTTTTCCGATGACTTGGGAATAGATGAAGAGGCTGTGGACCTCGGTGGCCCAAGGAGAGAGTTTTTAAGACTCCTTATGGAAGCATTGGCACTGTCACCAATGTTTGAAGGAAGGGAAAGCAAATTGAACTTGGCTCTACACAGTACTGGTAAGTGTGATATATTTGGCCGATGTGTATTAATTTATTGGTACTCCTTATGATCACAGCCCTTTAGTCAAATATTTTTCCCATTCTTTTAATACTGTGTTTTTTCATAAATCTAATTTGTCTCCAGCTTTAAGAGAAGATCGGTATTTCATTGCTGGACAGGCCATTGCTGTTAGCCTTGTTCATGGGGGTCCTCCACCAGGATTCCTTGCACCAACACTGTATTCATGTCTTGTTGGTGGGCACTCCTCAATTAAGCCTGACTTGGAGGACATTGTTGACGCTGACCTTTATGAAAAGGTTAAAAAGGTATATGCATTGTAAATATATTGGAATATGCTAATCTTGACTATATTTTCATTCGATATTAATGCCACAGCTTGACCACAAAAATGTAAATAATAATAGAAACAATATTTGTTTTCCTCAGTAATCTTGGGTGTCTAACATAAATGGATATAGCACTGAGTTATAATCAGCCAGTCAAATGTGTTCAGAATTTAAACCACTATTTTTAGCGAAACAGATATGTCACACAGACCCTGTCTGCCTCAAAATCCCCTGCAAATGCTATAGGCTCATTGGTCGTAACTGTGCCATTCTAGCTCATCTCAAAGTCTTGCTGAAATTCTGCAATTGGCTGCGGAATAACTACGTTACTTTCGTTATAATTTGTCAGCATTATGCTGCAATCTTTATGTAAATCCACGTTAGCAGTACAAGATGTACTTAATAAGAGGATTTCTGATATTAACAATTTAATTTCCAGGGCTCGACATTAAGGACTGCCCGATGGCCCGGGGCCATCTAGTATTTAGATCGGGCAATGAAGCCTCACCTGCTGGTTGCCCGATCGGGCAATTCTTTCACACACACATACGGGTTTTGGGCCGAGGGCGACACCGTACTTCCGGTATCAACCATTTCACACGAGGTGCATACAGAATATCATAGTCGATTGCCTTAATTAATATAGTCAACGCTAAAATACCACATATATGCATTGGCATGATAATATTATTGTGACAAGTGGGGTATTCACCTGGTGTTTCCAGAAGATAGACGTAGGTGCTGCCAAAATCGACCGAAGGCCACTTTTGAGGGTCGTAATTCCATACATTGTACATCCAACAACCCACACAGCTCTAGTTTACGCTGGTAACGACCTAGAGCACACCCCTCAAGTCCAGAGATGTAATCCGAAGACATGCAGCGATTTCTTCGGTCGTTAATTCAGAAAAAAAACCTTGTGCGCTCTGCCTGGCAACATAAGATAGCTGTTTATATTAGCATTGCCAGGATTTTTGCACCTCCAGAAAAATGGCGTCTTTATAAAAAAATATATGGCGCGCGTTGCATTGTGGGTAGCTGTGACGTCACTGTGTGTGAAAGAATCTATTATGCCAGTATCATGCAGCTCGCGGATCCAGTAATGAGTGAGCCAACAGTAAAACTAAACATATCTATAACTAGTTTAGGTAGTTTGAGAGGTAATTAAAATAGCTACGTGTGATATTCTAACCTGAAGTGTGTGTTTTGTCCGCTCACCGCTGCATGTGATTATGCAGAGCTGCGTGTCGACTCGTCAGCAGCAGCTGATCTCTCTCTCCCGTCAGATTAGACTTCACTCGCGTTTATGTCCATATCGATCAGATCCAGCTAGTTCTAGCTAATGATATGACTACCTGCTTATTAAAAGACACCTACACAATAAGTGTTGCTATGCAACTGGGTGAGGCCACAAAGTATAGCACAGCATTATGCATTTGTTTACATGCCCACCGGAACCCTGAGGCATTACCAACAGATCAACGCACAATCAACCCATACAGGACATCTCTTTCTCCACATTAAGTGTTACGGCCCGTACACACAGCAGCTTTTGGTGATTTGTCCACCGCTTCCAACGCGTCTCCGCCCATTGACTTTGAATGGGGATAACGTCACTTTCCCTCGCTTGTCGCCGAACTGCATTGTGGGGGGGCGAGGCGAAGATTTCCAGGATTTCCAGGATGTTCAGGATTCCAAAGTTGAACAATGTTCAACTTTTGAGGCTGAGCTGGAAGCGACAGCCAATCAGATCCGTTTATGCAAATCTGACAGTTCAAGCGCTAGCCAATCAAACCGCGTGCAAGCTGGGAGAACCAGACCCGCAGTTCATTTCTATATTCCACAAAAATGGAGGAGAAGTTAGTTATTGCGGTAGCAAATCACCCGGTTCTTTATGACCAGTCCCTATTTACTTACCGGGATACAAACCGGAGGAACCAGGCATGGAGGGAGGTGGCAGAGGCAGTGGGTGAAACTGGTAGGTTTTCGCTTGTTTGGGGATTTTATATCCAGTTTACTTCGTTGCTAGTTTACTTCGTTGCTAGCAAGCATAGACAGTATCATTAGCCAGCATGGAATGTAGCATAAAATAGCACCATAAACATTAATCTCATAAATGTTCAAAATGTTAAAAAAATAAATGTTCATCATAGCCCTTCCTATTTGACAATAGTGTAGAAGAACCGGGTTTTTTTGCTTTGTATGTCGGGGGCGGGATATTCATGTGATATTCATGTGATTGGTTGTTGGTTGCGAAATCCCCAAGCTGTCAGACACGCCCAGCTCCAGGATTTTCAAGATTTGGTCAAAGCTGCTGTGTGGACACACCGTTAGACATTAGAATTGACTATTCTTGTCTGTCACATACTCTTCTTGTCTGTCACATAAGTGGCGCAACTAAAGGGAAATTATTTTGACCGGACATTTTGACCGAAGAGATTTTGATATGCCGGCTAACGTCGCCATTTTGTGTGCTTCGCGGATGCGCTCGGCTCCTCTCGACTGCTGCTCGGGTCTGCTCGGTCAGCTTCCGGATGAGGAGGCATTCGTTCGACCAACTTACAGTAGATAACATTACAAACATTTTTAACAGGGGCCATAATAGTGTAAATAACGTTTGTTTTGTTTTGTTTTGAATGTAATGTTTTCTACTCTTTTACATCTGGGAAGGCATTTGCCTTCATCAGATGGAAAGTGTCTTGACCAACAACTTAAAAGAGTGTGGCACTCTGACCCACTCAACCCTGTTACTGATATTATCAGAATAAAGCATATTAATTTCAAAGTTATCTTTCTTGCATTAGATATCCAAGTTTGTCCTTGCCTTGAAAGTAGCATTACATGCTACATCTAGCAATAATTCCTGAGGTTAAAGCTAAAATTAGCATTGATTTTCAACCCTGTTACTTTCAACCCTGTTACTATAATTAGAGTAACAGGGGTAATTCTTCATTGGAAAATATGAATTTGATGCCTAGCTGGGCAAATCACTTTTTTTGATGGTTTATTATCTGTTTTTCCTAAATACATAAAAAAACATTATAAAATAAAAGGTTCATTTTTCAAAAATGTTGGTGTCTAAATTGTCCTCCAATTCTGGAATGACCCTTAAGTATTTATTATAGCTATGCAGGGCATGCAAGCGAGCAAACACAAACAAGAACAAACAAACAAGTGAAATGAAGAATAAAATTGAAATTGTACAATATAATATTGTGGTGGTTCATCTTATAATTCAGTCTAGAGAATGCACCAGACAGCATCTAAGACCTGCAAACATCTACATGTTCTAGGGGGAGGCCCCCCAAACCCTTCGTGCGTCATTTCGTCCGCGCGCATTTTTCAGGGCAATCTCTATTGGGCTCAGGGCCATCTGTAAATTAGCTTAGATGGCCCACAGGGCCATCTCCCAAAATCCTTAATGTCATGCACTGATTTCTTTTGACGTCTTCCATATCTTACACTGGTCTAAACTCTTGAAAGAAATAATTGGTCTGCCTTCTATATACATGATTTTAAACTATAACTAAACTATTTTTAATGAAAAGTACAGGTTTAGGTTCATTGTTACAACAGCTTCTGAGGACTTGTTCCCAGTATGGCATTGATTTTAATATTAAGTATAACGCCAAGAAGAGTAACATCATGATTGTACGAAGTAAAGAGGATAAAAAGGCTGTATTTCCTCATTTTATTCTCAGTAGTAACATTCTTCTTGTGTGCAGTGAGATCAAGTACCTTGGTCATTATATTTCTGATGATCTCACAGATGACAAAGACATCCATAGACAACGCTGCAAACTGTATGCCCAGGCAAACATATTAATGCGTAAGTTTCACAAGTGCTCTGTAGATGTCAAGGTATCACTTTTTAAAGCTTTCTGTACACCATTGCACACGGCTCACCTGTGGAGTAACTACAAGGCCAGAAGCATGCAAAAACTAAAAGTTGCATACAATGATGCTTTACGGTTGCTGCTGAGGGTACCAAGATGGCACAGTGCCAGCCAGCTGTTTGTTAACTTGGGGGTACCTACCTGTCAAGCCCTTTTAAGAAAATTAATGTACAAATTCATGTGTCGCCTAGTAGACTCGGACAATTATGTTATTTCGATTTTAATTAACCCTGTGAAGAGTTCTACCCGGTTCTCTTCCATGATTTGGAGACATTGGCGCAATAGCCTCTACAGACGGTGAGCATGTGTGGCTCGCTGTGATTGGACTGATTTTATGTTTTTATCTGTTTGTTTTATCTGTTTTGTGTTTAGCTTTTTATCTTATTTATTGATGTGTGTTTTGTCTTTTTGTGTGATGTGGACCTTGAGTCTGGAATAAAGATTGGAATTGTGTCACCAACAGAAAATATGTACTGCTGTTTAAATATCTGGTTTCTTAGATTCATGCCTCTTTTGTAGTATTTGCTGTTGATAAGAACTTAATCCGCAGTAAAGGCGCTACTTCTGCCGTTGCAGTTGAGTCGAGCCAACCCTAAGCTGTTTGACTTGACCCATGCTTTGTGGTTCCTCCCCCGACTGCACTCGGCTACACTCGTCTACTTTCCATGCAAGCAGCAGCTCATCTCAAACTTTCTTTTTTGTTTTGTTTTTAGGTGTCAGAATGTTCTTCTTTGAATGACCTCTTACACACCACAGAACCACTGCAAGATTTTCTTGCAAATGCAGGATGTCTCAGGCCGTTGAAATCCATAGAAGACATTACCATGTTCCAGGTGGCCCACAGAGTTGCAGGAGCATTTCAAAGGTTTGTGCAACACTATTGCCTATAAACCAAATTAGTGATATCATTTAGGTGCTAACAAAAAAGCTAAAGCTGACTATATTTTAAACCTTTTTTTCAAACAAAGATACAAGAAGAAAAATGTTTGAACGTGTATATTTGTATTGGAAAGAGATTGTTCCTTATAAAATAGGGCTGTGTAAGAATAAAATAAACACAATCAAATCAGTTAATGTGGTCAGAAACATATTACTCCCTGTAAATGAAGCTCTGAAGTATGTATTTTTGAACAAATTACATGTACTTAATTTTCACAATTGTTTGGCAAGTCTGAGCATATTAATTAAAGATTGTCACAAACATCAAACTTTGTTTTTGCCCTCTTAGATTTCATACTGATCTCTGATGGACATTTTTTATTTTCAAGCAATTTTTCTGCAATGGTGATGGAAGTTATCTCTTTAGTTCTTTACTATTAGCTAACACAATTGTTCACACAAATTCTTCTCTTGACCCTCATTTGTATACTGTAGATTTAAGGAGGGGCTAAAGGTCCTTAGCGTTCTAGATGCAATTAAAATGCATCCAGAAAGTTTCCGGCCTTTGATGTGCCACGAACCATCGGCTCTCACTGCTTGCGTAATGGACCATCTTTTCCATATCCTGCTGTCTGAAGTGGGAAGCAACAAAAGAAGGACAGAGGAGGTTGTGGTAGCCTTTTGGAGGGATTACCTGCAGGATGTGGAAGGTTAATACTGCTGCTAGATGTAGTACTGTCTCCAATGATGTTGATCACTTAGTGTGCAAAGACTTGCTACAACATAATGCCACATTGACATTACTCTTTTCATTGTCTGCCCTTTTCCTTAATCTTGCTTTGTTTCTATTTCCTTTTTCTTCCTTTCTTTCTGTCTTAAAATATCCTCTTACTTGTCACATGTTTGGTTTCTTTGTCTTTCATTCTTTACTAATAGATTTTTTCTGTATGGTATTTTGTACTTGCTGGTATGGTTTAAAATTGTAATTATTGTTTTGCTTGCTTTACTGTGTTTTAGATCAAGTGGGACCACCAAAGTTAGGGACAATCCTTGCCTTTGCAACAGGTGCAAGTGTCATTCCTCCAGTTGGCTTCTCTCCTCAGCCATCAATTGATTTCCTGCATGGGCATCCCTCCAGCCCCAAACAGCGTCTGCCCATGGCGAACACTTGCATAAACTGCCTGAAGTTGCCGCTGCTTGAGACTTATGATGATTTTAAAGAGTGCATGGACTTTGCACTAGGTAACACACAGGGTTTTGGAAGAGAGTAATGGGAACACTATGTTCGTTCCATCTACCTCGTTCAGGAGGTTTCAGCCAGGTTCTTGAAGCAATGTGAACAACAATTTTTGTTTTTTATTTTAGCGAAGTGCAAAAAAACATTATTCTTTGAAAGTCACTTTTATTATTTATCAACCATTGTACATTGCTTTATTAGTGCTGATTGAGTAACTGGGCACATAATTAAGGTATTATGGCCCAGTGGTGCAACAAATCACATAAATATATAACTGTTACTTTCAGTGTGTATAAAAAAAAAAAAAAAAACAGTGCTTGTTTTGTTATTTTAAAGGTGGGGTAGGTAAGTTTCAGAAACCGGCTCGAGTGCACTAAAATTTGAAAGTACACAGCCGAAAAGAATCCGCCCCTTCCTTCAGACATCCTTACAGAGCACCTCCTCCAACACACTTGAACGCGCACATGACGTCAGCAGACTGGTGAAAGTGGCCGCCTGTTGCTGGCGAGTCATTGAAGTACTGCTGTAATGCACGCCCAATGACGGCACGCCCAATGAGGGCACGAGATACATTTGTGCGTGCACGAGATGGAAGGCTGACAGACAGAGCGGTACTTTCTACAGTATTACGGCTTAATGGATTTTTTGTCAAAGCACTTAAGATATTCATTGCTATCGGGATGTTAAGAGCATTCTATGGAATATAACAAAAAGTGTATCTCGAGCCGGTTTCTGAAACTTACCTACCCCATCTTTAAGTGTGAACCATTTCCAGTGTTTGCGGTTCACTAAGAACATTCACCAGAACAAAAAAAAATGATATGCCGTGATTACCATCATCACTCAACGGGTCAAATAGTTCTTCAATTCTGTTCATCATGGTTTCATTAACATTAAAGTCATTTACCGGAACCACAATGTTGTTGTCTGTCACTAATGGTAAGGGGATGTGTTCATTGACTCCAACTGTCTCGTTTCCTTCAAAAATGTCATCAATTGCCAAGTTTCCAGCTCCAGCACTGTTTAGAACTCCTCTCTGCCACAGTTGGAGAGGAGTTTGTCCACCCATTGTAGATAATCCATGGTGGTTCCACTGATTTTGGAATTCAGCAGCTGACCTTTGAACTCTTGGCAGGTAGATGTAGTGAAGACAAAACAAATGGAGGTCATTCGTAGAGTCCAATATGCCCTCATTTTCCATGATTGTAAAAAGGTTACTAAAGTGGAACGAGACAACTGTTAAGCTCCGCCTACAGCCGTTCTATCCTCTGGTTATGGACACTGCGTCCCGTAATGACACTGCCTCTGTTTAATCCCCTTCTCTCTAGCATATACCTGGCAACCCCTGTGTTTTCCATGCCATGGTCACAGCGTACTCTTGAGGGAAGGCCAAAGTTGTGTTCACCAGTACAAAACAGTCCCAGAACACTTGATGCCCTGTTGTTTTTGAGGCATTGCAAATAAATGATGGTGCGACTAAAGCCGTCAACACATCCATGAAACACCATCCGCCATCTCACCAGTTTATGGTTTCCGTCTATATGCCTGTAGGGAGAAAAAACTTCAATATTTACAAAAATAACATTGCAACCATGATGAATATTGTTAATACAGAACCAGAATGTCTTATCACATGGTTACCCTTCTAGAAGTCAAAGGATTAGTCCTTCCAAATTACAACACCTTTTTTATTTCACAGCATGAACTCAGTTTGTGTTGTTTAAGACAAAAGCACATGATAAAGGACATCCTTTATTGACTATTATATAAGTATTTATATTTTTAACGTAAAATAAAGTTCCAGTGGAGGAAGACTAGCAAAAAATAATAAGTGTATTTTAAAGTTTTACTTGCATTTTAGGCCTACTTGCAATAATGTCATGTGTTTCTACCACTAGCAATATCTACTATATTACTTGTGCATTCATGGCACATAACTTAATGTAATGTCATGCAATACTCACCATAATTGATTGGGAGTTTGAACATTGTAAACTCTTCGACGAATTGCACGGCGGCGGCGAAAAGCCCGTCCAACCGGGTCAAGTTGTTGCAGGCAGCGTCTCACACGTCAAAGTTGTATTCTGATGTGCCGTGAACGAAGACTCCCTAAAACATGCCTTTCCCCTGCATTAGGGGTAGTTTGAAGGATCTCACGAACAGTATTTGCCAGAACCTCATCAGACATTCCTGCATAGTTCAGTGGTCTAATTTCAAGCCGCTGTCTGTGTCTGTACAGTGTGCTCCTGTTGATTCCTAAGCAGACAGCAGTTCTTTGCTAACTCATTCCAAGTGATAAACAGTGCATCATTTGCTCACGTTGTATATTGTACTGAAGGGGACCAGGATGGCCAGTTCTTGTTGCTGGAGGTACCCTTGGGTTAAGGCTAGTAATTTGTCTTTCAAATGATCTTGAGCTTTCAGATGTGTTGGTAATTACACAAATACATACATACAGGGCCGCAAGGACGACTGAAGTTTCTTGACTATCAGTCCCTGCAAACTCCTGGCTAATTGATAGAAAAGTAAAAAATGTCCGTTGGTATCCAGCAAGTTCACTGAATAATCTGTCCAAATCCATGCTGTCAGGTCCCATGCTCTCACTTTCCCTCATAATGTTCTGGGGCCTCATTTATAAAGGGATATACGCTCAAAAAATGGCGTACGCCAGTTTCTACGCAATGTTTGCGAATTATAAAATACTAACTTGACGGGAAAACGTGCGGTCCTCCACGCAAACTCTAACCCATGCGTACGCACTAAGCACAAAAACGGGAGATACGAGAAACTGCGACACCGTTGGCAGAAGGAAGAATGGAGAGAAATGTGTGGAAATAATACCATAAATAAAATGTTACCTCTCATTTATCATATATGAAGAATTCATTTTCAAACATTGATTAAAGCCAATCTTAAAATGATTTAACAAACGCCTGTTTGAGACTCCTCAGTGCACACAAAAACATAACTTGGAGAAATAAATAAATACGGATGTTATTTAAAACCACCTCGAATATGTTGTGTTAATGTTATGAAATGTTTTCTCATAAATGATGCGGTAAGCAGAAGGACAGAATTACGTCTAAACTGACGCCGTGTTGCATTTCTATAGGTTGTAGATACGAGCATGGTTTTATATATGTAACCCAAATGTCCCGTAGCCTCTCTGAACACCATGGGACTCTGCGTTGTGTTTGTTATTGGTGATGGGATGTTATGCAGAGGGTTGGAAAACAGGACACAGCAGATCGGATTGCGGTGGAGATGCTGAGTAGCGATTTATTCTTCACAATGGCAGCTCTTCTGACACACCTTTTGCGGAGTGAATATAAACATTAGCGCATTAGCTACATGCTAACCAATACAATAACCAAATGAACAGACAAAACAAACATCTCACTCCCAAACATAAACAAACGGGTAAATAAACATTTAAACTAACCCATTAATTAAATAAATGGAATGTTTGGACGTTTTTTACATAATAATGTGTACAATTATTTGCCGCCATTAACACTGCTCACCTTTTGCGGAGTGAATATAAACATTAGCGCCAAGATGGCGGCCGCACCCAGAACAACAAGAGAAATACGGTGTCCCACAATGGACAAAAAACAACAATTTGCTGCGCAACAGCAACACCTGTGGCCTGTCAAGGCTGTTACCTTACATCTACCCCTTCTTTAATTGATGGCGTCCCAGCCATCAGGCCAAACAAAATACAACAAAGGCCATGTAGCACAAACAATTTAAACAGTTAAAGAGAAACAAATAACCTTTCTGTATGTATGATTGTCTTATAAAATGTGTGCGTGTTATACATTTTAACAGTCAGAATGTTGTGGCTTGATTGTGTCCCCCCTGTCCTGCTTCTCTACTTGCCGTGAACCTTTGCCACAACTTCCATCCCCTTTTTCTCCTCCTCTGGTCCTCTTCCGAACTCAGGACTTGTGACTCACATGACTGTCTCTTCAGGGCACACCGATTTCTTGGTGGATTTCTCCTAGGAGCCTTGTCAAGTGATTTGGTGTCACTCACAGTCGTACTTTCCTCATCTCCTTCATCCATTTGTCCTTCATCCACATCCACTTCCTCCATTTGTTTGGGCTCATCGTGTACCACTGGTGTCCCAGGTCCCACATTCTCCTCAACTTCCTCTGATGATCGATCTCACAGTCCTCTGCTGCATCTGATTCAACCTCTTCTCCCATCACTTCACTGACTTGTTCCACTGGAAGGAACATACACTGTGTGAGGAGGTTGCGGTGCACCACCCTCTCTCTCTCGCTGTCCTCCAATCGTATCACATATACAGGTGTGTTGAGTTGTTTCTTCACCACAATGTATGGACATGACGTACTTTGACAAGGACTCTATCCCCCGGTATGAAGACTTGACCCTTTGCTTTTCTGTCATAGTGCTTTTTCTGTTGAGCCTTAGCATGCCGAGAGGTTTGATTAGCCTGTGCATATGCCTGTGACAGACGGTCGTACAGAATTTGGACATAATCACTGTATCCACGTGGCTCACTTGCGGTGGAAAGCCCAAAAATCAGGTCCACTGGGAGCCTAGGATGTCTCCCAAACATCAGGTAGTATGGTGTGTAACCCGTTGAATCATGCTGTGTGCAGTTATAGGCATGTGTCATTGCGTCAAGATGCTCATGCCAGCAGGGTTTCAAGTGTGGCTCCAAGGTCCCCAGCATGTTCATGAGGGTCCGGTTGAACCTTTCGGTGGTCCCGTTGCCTTGTGGGTGTTAAGGGGTCGTATGAGTCTTTGTGATGCCAGTGCACTTACACAGCTCCTTCACAACTGTACTTTCAAAGTTGCGCCCTTGGTCCGCATGCAGCTTCGCAGGGAACCCAAACCGGCAGAAGAAGTTTTTCCACAGTGTTTTAGCCACTGTAAATGCCTTTTGGTCTTTTGTCGGGTAGGCCTGGGCGTAGCGGGAAAAGTGGTCTGTAACCACAAGCACATTTTCTATTCCACCTTTGGACTTCTCCAGAGTCAGAAAGTCCACACACACCAGCTCCATTGGGGAACTGCTGTGGATACTGACCAGGGGAGCCCTGGAGCCTGCAGTAGGGGTCTTCCGGAGACAGCACCTTTCACACTGCTCACACCAAGCCTTGATTTCTTGAAACATTCTTGGCCAGTAGAATCTCTCCCTTATCATTTGCAACGTCCTCTCGAATCCTAAATGCCCTGAATCATCATGGAGAGCAGTCTTTACTGCTGTATGCAGTATGCAGTCTGGCAATACTAGCTGCTCCACTACTCCCCTTTGGCCGTCCTGGATGTGGC